AGTTGCATCCCCTCCCCTTCCTATGATGAAACAAATTAAATGCTATTTTTATTATCACCACTGTATCTAGTATTTTATTAAAGCAAAAAAGCATGTGTTTTATCAAGTGTGACTTACACTTATTTTTTTGTCAAGTGTTTCCTCCTCCCTGTAAGAAAATATTTGCATAAATATGGAAAGAAAAGAATATATTCCCAAATCCTCTTCTCTGGAATTGCACCTCCAGAGAGTGAGGGTCAGATGATGAAAGCCATTGCTGTACCATCAAGCCATGTGACTGGAAGGGTTCTGTCTATATCCCAATGCCTCCATTAAATGCACATTAAAAAAATGTTTGATCTGCACAAAATAATTTAAATTAAATATAAACTATGCTGTTTGCTCAGAAAAATAAAGCAAGAAAACACTAAGCACAATGAAAAACTTTGCATGAATACCAAGGAGAAGTGCTGATTTTAATTTTCAAAAGGATCTCCTTGAATAAAAACCAAATTTTTATGATTAACTATTGCAAGTTTTGATTCAGGGAACAGCAGAAAAGGACATTTTCCCAGAGATTTAGAGCACATCAATAAACTGTTTCAAGTCATTTGAGACAATTGTGGCAAATGAACTACTAGTCTAAAAAATATTACCTTGTTCTACCTTGACCTGCCAAACAGGGCTGTGTACACTCTGCATTAAGAGATACTTCATGGGCTTGAGCTGAGCACACATGCAAGTGCTTGAAGGTTTGGGGTGGATTTCTGCATTTCCAGGATACAGACCAGGATTTCTGAGGGAAGAGAAGGAGAATAGCTGCTGGCAAGGAGCAATGCTTCTCCACTGACTCTCTTGGCTGGTCGCAGGCCAAGGAGATGCACTCTGGGTTAAATATTTAGCTTTACAAAATAATGTTGTAAGTTACAGCTTGATCAGCAAGTGCACTCCTCTTGTACCCTGAAAACAGCATGATGAGGTACCTCTGAGATTAAAAAAAAAAAAAAAAACAATTCAGAAAATAAAGCAAGTAGGTGAAAGGTAACTGTATCACTTTACAGACACAAGCTCCTCTCTGATTACAACTAATTAAGATATTCAGCAGCCTTAAAACAATACCTTTTTTTTATCAGTGTACCCAGACAGCTTCCACAGCTTTTTGTGATGACAAATGCCCTTTGAAAGAGTTAATAGGCAAAGGTTTGTACTGGCAATGAATAGGGCTAACTTTAATTGATCCAAGAGCCTTAGAGAGCCGTCTTATAGTGTGATGATGTATTTGGGTTGCAAGTGGGCCAAAATAAGCATAAAGAAAATCTGTAAGACCATGAGACCTTTCATTTTTTCATTGCAGGGAGGGACAGTGGGGGGGAACTGCTGGGGAAAATGAGAGAACTATGATGGGGTTATCTTTGTGCTCTGGCACTTAAAATAGATAAAATGGCAGAAATTTTGAGGAAAAGAGAGGAAGTGATCAGGCCATAATTCTTAGAATAAACGTCAAGATGTACGGAAATGTACAAAACAAGGCTTCTTCAGAATTAAAAAAAAGCCATGGAAAAAGAGGAGATGACCTAATGATATAAAGAAACATTGATTAAAGAGATACCCAGAGGGAGAAAGATATTCCATCAGCGTTAACAAACACTGCATGGCCCTGCATTCCCTCTTAACTTCTAAGTAAGGGGAGAAAAAAATGTCTGTAGAAGAGGCAGTCACATGGATCTATTTATAATTTTTCCCCTTATTCCCTGCTCATCTTTTGCTCGGTTTTGTTCAAGATGTACAGGAAATGTGCACACTAAAAGCGACCCACTAAATTAAACACGATAGGTTAGTTGTAAATATTTTACCTTGAGTAGCCAAAGAAGAAACAAAAAAAATCATTTTTATAAGGAATATAAAATCCACACAGTCATATTTTTTCTTGATGAGACTGATTATACATTAATACTACCTAATAATTAAGGAAGCAGTCTATCCATGTTTACACTAGTCTTTCATCAGAAACTCAATTTTGGCAGAATCCCTCCCTCACAAAGCAAAAGGTAAACAGATTTCCTGGAACTTCCACAGGTGCAAACTTTTTGTCAAGGTAGAATTTTTCTGGCAAGTCTGAGGCAAATCAGACAAGAAAATTCCTAGTCTAAAATACTATTTTCAAATGGAATTACTGTGCAAGTATACTATCAACAACTCTGTAAAAAAAAAATCAAACAACAGAAAGTTGTTGGCACCTGAGATCTTCTTAGAAGACAGATATGGGAGGAGCTAGGAAAAAACAGTTGACATTGCTCCTTAAAAATAAAGAAGCAGAGCAATAAAAATTCTGCTCCAATATATGCATCAGGAAAAGTGAGTCAAGTCCAGTTTCAATCTGAAACTGAGAGCCACGAACGAGCCCTCTCCTAGCAGCCACCCAACAGAAAAAGGAACAGAGCCTTCATTGTGGTCTGGGTAAAAATGAGGATTGAACTTACCTCTCAAAACAACAATACATTCCCCATTAGGAATATTTGCCTCCTGTCAGTCTTCCCCTATGGTACAAAGTTCTGAGGAAAAGAACAGATAAAAACTTCACATCACAACTTCCAGACATTTTGCCAATTAACCACTCTAAGCCCACATCACCAACCACCACAGAATTACAACCATACCAAGGTGAGCACCCACCGCATCCTTCAGAAAAACTTCTCACTTCAGGGCACAAACATCAGCAAGTGAGGAGAATCAGGACATGTGGACAGTGGCAACCTGCTATGGAAAGTTGAGACAAGCCATGCACATCCTTGCTTACTTCTGCATGAAGAAACTCAAAATACTGTTTGTATTTTGTGTTTTGAGTTGCTTTCATTAAAAAAATAATAATTTTGAGAAAGTCTTCTCTCCCTGTTCCATTCACTTTCAGTTCAGACTCCCAGAATCTTCTGTTGTAGTTTAAAGCCAAAATATTTCCTTCCACCTTATCAGGCAACATGTAAATTCTAGCTATCAATGAGTTTTCTGAAAAGTAAACAAATAAATAAAAAATTAGGATATACAAGGATGTTTAAAGGATATCAAGTTCTTTCAGAACAATTAAAAATCAACTGCTTTTTGTGCAGGGGACAGCAGGTGGATTGCCCATCGCACTCTCCCCAAGCATGGTGAAGCACCAGTGTTTCACAAAATAGAAGTCAATCATATCACAAAATAACTATGTCCAGTAGCTTCCTATTCAACAGAAAAAAAATTGCTTTAAAAGTCTCTTGCAATCTACTTTATGATTCCATTCTATGAACTGGTACAATCGGCTTATTTGTAGGATGCTCCATACTATTGAAGATTTCGACTGCTGCCCTTGGGGACAGCCTACAGAAAAAGAGCCAATATTCAGATCCTGTTCACACACATTCAGTTTCACCAAAGAACATACCCAGAAGGGCACTTTGATAGCAAATATCAGCAAAATCTGAGCCATTTTTCCCAAATGAAGCCTGAAGGGTGTTTACAGGTCTGTTTGTTTACACAGAGACAAAACATGTCCCACCTGGAAGCATCGGTGGGAGCCAACAGAGCCCTACAACAATGGCATCTCTCTACTGACTCAAACTGACCACCAATGCCAAAATTGTAAGGATCTCATAACCACGTGCTTATCTTTGACTAAGCAAATACTGTATTGATGAGAAATTGAGGTGTGGAAAGTCTGAATAGAAATGAACCTAGATTTTCCAAGGGGCATCTATGTCACAGCTGCCTCAAAAAGCTAAGAGAAGCAACATTTTACAAGCCAGTTCATGTATTCTTGAAGGACTTTCTGTATTTGGTTAATTTTCACCCCGGCTTACACGTGCACATGCACACACCTGGAACGGCTAAAACAAAGGCTTAAAGGTGGGGAAAACTGATGAAGAAAGAGAAATGGGTTTTCCAGTGCCAAAGATGGACTCCATTTCAGAGAACATTAAAGCCTATCAGTTTTTGTTCCTCATGCAAGTGCTCAGACACGAGTTTCCCAGGTTCCTTATAAACTGAAATAACCCTCCTGAATAATTTTTTTTTTTCAAAAATGGTCTCCAGCAAGCTTTACCTAAAAGAGCTAGCTGAGTCTCCTTGCAAAATGTGCTGTTTAACTGAGGTTTAACTAGACTATCATCTACAATCCCACGCCCAAATACAGGGAAATAAAACCCACAATGTTTTCCCAAAGGAGGCAGAAGGAGTTTACACGCTGAATCCTAAGAGGCAACAGGCACAGATAAAGTGGTGCTTTCAGCTCCACCAGAATAAATCCTCAGGAGCTCCACGTTGACAGAAACCTCCACCCTAAACTCTCAAAGGACGTTCCTCAGCTCAACTGAGGATACTAAGGAAGCAAATTCTGATCCTCTTTTTTTCCCGGAAATCTGTTTCACAATTCAACATCTTTGATGTAAATCTTTTAAAAGACTGTGATGGCATCAAGTAAGGAACGGGATGAAGGAAAACGTGTTTCCGACTCCTCTGTGGGGGGACCATTAGGAGGAGGGTTAATAGCCCTGGGCATGCGAGCAAATTGAGGTTTGTGCCAGTTCCCCCAGGCTTTCCCCTGCCATCAGCAGCTTCCCCAGGCGGGGCAGCTCACCCCCATCTCCTCCCCAAAGACTGCTCTTAAACAGAAGCACGACAGTCTGCTGGGAGGAAACACAAAGATAATCACACAACTAACTTATATGGACAAAGTATGAAACGGGCCGAGGGAGGGGAAAGAGGAAGGGAGCCTTTGACAGCTTCACCTTTGGAGCGATACAAACTTAATGCACAAGCAGCTTAAAAACCGAGAGGTGGGGGGGAGCCGGAATTCGGACCTTCCCAACATGTGGAGGGCAGCAGCGAGGCAAGCCCCGAGCCTAAACAAGGCTGGAGTTAGCATTCAGAGCACACAGCCCAGCAGAGTATGGGAAAGGGATGGAAGAGCCAGCCCAAAGAGCTGGCGCCACGAACTGACGAGCAGAGCGCAAGTGATAAAGATTTACTGCGAGAGAGGAGGAAACAGTCCGCTGGCCCGATTAGAGCTGTGAATACCGAGTTGTTCAGGGAGGATTTTGCAGCTGACTGATCACAGGCTGTCGGAGCAGGCCTTGGACAACAGCTGCAAGGCTTGCTGGGCTGCAGAAACAAAAGGCGCCTAGCACGGTGCAAAGAAAGAGTTGACAGGTTGTTGTTAGCAGTGGCAAATGTGTGAGGTATGTCACTGTGTGTGAGACGGGCTGGGCTGGGCTGCCGGGGAAGAAGGAGGGCAAGAAGCACAGGCAGCGCTCAGAAAAAGAGGGGGGCGTCGCGGGGGAGGGAGCAGGGACACAGGCTTGGTCAAAGCGTTTTCCTAAAATCAGGCCGGTGTTTGTAAGGAGGACAATCACAAGGTCTGTTTACTGCTGCCAAGATGAATTAGCCCATCGTCTCATTTATAGGACGAATCCGGTGGCACAGACTATAAAGGTGCATGGCATTAAAGGGACTAATTAGACAATTCTGGCATTCTGAATTAAGACCCTTTCTTTCTTTGAAAGCTGGAAAGCATTTCTCAGGACTCCAGTCAGATGGCTTAGGTTTTGTTGGGCCTTTTCTTTCCCTTCTGAGAAGGGATATCTTGTGCAATTCCCTAACTCACAAGGGTCTGTTCTAAATTCTGCTCTGAGCTTCAAGAACAGTTGTTAGGAAGCTGCTGGCATTTACATCATATCTAAAAAGGTCCAAATGAAAATCTCAGATTCTGCAGGAATTCAGCTCCCACGGACAAACTCTGGTCCCTCCTGTTAAGAGTGGCCTAAACCAGAAGCCCAAATGAGAACATACCTGAGCCAGGAGCCTGCAGCTGAATTCTCACTCACACACACAAAACAAGCGAGCTTTTTCAAAAGCTGGCTTCTAATCTGACACCCACCCCCTTCAAATCCAGTGCCTGCAGCCAAGTGCTTTTCCCAAGCAACTCTGAGCTTTCTGGAGCCATGGTTCACTAAGCATGTGAGTGCTGGGCAGGAATGTATCAATGAAACTCCAGAGATTATCAGACAGGAGCTGGAGAACAGGAGACCTTACTTTCAGCTCCCTGCTTGGCAAGTTTAGGATTCAGTTCTTGAAGTCTGGCAACATTTTACTCCAATTGTGACCCAAACAAAGTGTTCCAAACACCTCTGAAGCAGTGGTGCATGCTGTTTGCACACAACCACTGTAATACAGTGGTCACTATTAAAATGTTTTACAAGCAGCTAAGGTTACCATGGCATTCACAGTGTACTCCTAGAAGGCAATACCATGAAAATCACAGAAACATCCAGCACTGCGAGCTGCAAATATCAGATGTTTCATAGTAATTAGTGACACTTTGTAAAGCAGAGGCTTCTTGCATTTTAACACAAATCTCTATCACGTACAACTAGGAGACACTAAGAAAGTGCAGTGGCCTTTATAGTGTTCAATCAATTACACAAACAAACCTTATTTTGATTTTTCTCTTTTAAATGGTCTCTGGGACCCAGTTAGTCTAGTCCCAACGGGCAGCACTTGATACACTGTAAAGGGAATTCAGAACAAGAGGCATTTCAAGTCTTCTAACACAGCTCCATTCTCCCAATATATATATAAAAAAATCAACCCACTGTGCAGAATACTCCATCTAGGGGCAGAAATGTGACTCAAAATTTCCTTAGCCTTTGCTTTGACATGTGTTAACCTCATTGTACCAGGTCTGAGTGCACGAGAAATATTCAGACATTTCACAGAGGTTCCAAATAGCTCTTCCTCAGTATGAGTCCATAGATTTTTACTTTTTTATTATTTTAAATACAGAGCTTTCAGCTTGAGTTTCCGCTAAACAGTGATGAAGAACACAGGCACCACTTTTATGCACCTACTAGAAACTGGACTATACTTTAAACTACAGATATTATCTTAGGAACAATTTATAACCAATTATCCCCATATGCTCGAAGTTTTCAGCTGAATAAGGGTGGCCAGTGAGCGCAACTAAAAAGACTACTGAAATGCTTGAAGGACTACTTGTGTAACCATATTTTTGTAATTGTACTTCTGCTGGAGTCAAAGCAAAGTCTGAATTTGAGTGCAATGAGAGCAGAAATAATTAATGGCAGAGGTGTATTTCTGAATCACAAATTCTCCCTCTAGCTGCATAATTCAGTATCATTTATGATTAATGGAATTTGTTCACCAAATGTATTTGAGAGCAATATATACAGTAGACAGAAGCAACAATTCACAGGCTCTGAGAAAACCCTGAAAATACAAAATAATCCCTTTTAAGAACTCTTTTCTTTTCAAGGAAAAATTAGTGATTAGTGACAGAAGTGTATCAAGCCTTGTCTTCCAATGATGTGTCCTTTATAAAAATTGCTTTCAGCTGACTAGTCCTCTCTGATTTTCCATAGTCAGCAATGGGTTACGGCTTGTCCATAATGTCACAGCTTTCCACTGCACTGTGTCTTGCTCTTTGTCTCTCTGGTACAGACAGGCTGCTTCTGAAGCTGCTGAAACACTTTGGAAAGTAATCAAATTACTTCCTACATTTGCTCTCCTTAAACACCTCTGCTTGATCCCCCTCCACTCTTCCTGTTCAGCCTCTCAGTCGCAAGCTTCATAAATGCAGAGGTTAGAATTTTCTAGACACCACTTTAATTTTTCAAATAGCAATCCAATTACTGAGCAAATTGGCACATGTGCCTGGTTACATAGTGACTTGGCACTGCCTCCTCTCGCTGCTGGCAGTGATGAATGTGTTTCCCCTTCAGCTCTCCTCATCTATCTGCCCCAGCCTCTGAGCCAATACCAGTGACCACATAAGGAGAGTGCCTGGCAGCTGCAAGCCCGAGGTGCCAAGAGGCAGATTGTGTTCTGTAGCAGCAGGATCTGGGTCTGTCTGACTAGGCTTCCTGGCTAGTCTTTTGTAAGACCTTTTCCATGGCCTCTAGGTTGGCTCTAACAAAGCCTGTAGAAATGCCTGCAGGGAGCTGGTATAGAAGTGAGTTGAGTCAAAGGTTTAATTTGGTTCCTAAAGTGAAGTGAATGTATACTGGTCTTCTCTTTACACCCTGCAATTATATTCCTGCCACATTTATGTGAAAATACAGTATTCAGTCAACAAGAGGAGTGCATTCCAGGGTATGTCTGCACCACACATTGGGGCAAAGATCCCCAAGCCAGTCTCAATTAACTCTGCTGCAGAACCAGGAGCAATATAGCCGTGTTTGTTTGCTGTGACACCCGAGCTAATTAACTATGTATGGCAGTAACAGAGCATTACTGCTTCTGGCTCTGACGCTGCTGTCCCTGTGTGGCAAACTGCTACAGATATGCCAACTCACTTGGAGGTAACCAGAGGGCTCCCCAGCCCAGTGCTGCTTTGCACTGCCCACATGTGTTTAGGGATACTCCAGAAACTGGCAGAAATCTGTTGGCCACCACGTGAGAGTGGTGAGGCTACAGATGTGGTTACAGTACATGTGGACTGTTCCATCCCAGTCACATTCTTTTAGTACTCACAACATGATGATCACAGAGCATCTTTTAAGTAATGTGCTGAGCATCTTGAGCAGCATCTGTCACGTGCTGCTTTCTCAATATCTCCCTCCTCCAGGGACAAAAAGTTGGACTAAGATCTTCTAAAATATTTCTCACATTTACTTCTTTTCCCCAAGAAATTTGGGTCTTAGTCATAAGTGAACTTCTTTAGACTATTTAAAAAGCCATTTTCAATTATTGCAATGAAGCAGATAAGAACTTTCTCACAGCAGGATAGCTTCTCTCCATCCGTTTTTTTTTTTGTTTTTTTTATCCCGAAGAAATTAACTTTCTTAAAATAAAAGAGTGCAGGTTCCAATGACCAGAGATGCACTATGATCCCTGTAATTCAAACAGGCTTTGGTGAAGGTAAAAACAAAACACAACTTGCCAGCTATTCCTCTTTCGGAATTCCACCTCAGACATACCAAGAAGCTACTGGAGAGAATCAGTTATTTGTCCAGCAAATTTCTGATGCAGATGACAGTCTGGAAAATATCTGAGTGGACTATGAACTGCACACACAAGACTATTTCACTGAGTTTGCTTGCTTGGACTTTACTGTATGAGTTGCACTTTATGGGTACAGTTGTTTGTTACTGATGGAATTTTTCCTGTCCCTTTATATTTTTTCCCCTAAATCAGGTATTTTGGCAGAGGTATTTAATGAGATGTACTCAGAGGTACTCAGTGAGTGGTTAGATTATGTTTAATTAAATCATCTGCATTAACTCAAGAGCCTTTACCAGTGTTTATCTGTGGGTAGATAAGAAGCCCAAGGTCTTCTGTTGGCTCCCTAGATAAACAAGCCATGTTGTAATTCCAAGAACCACCAAAAGTATACAAGGACTTTCTCTTCAAACCTAATCAATCACCCCAGCTCTCAACACTGACTTTTCACAAGATACCAAACACAGTGATAAATTTTAACACACACACCCCTTGAGCTATCCCTCTGTACAGACACCCATAACTGTGATGCAGCAGCATGGATTTTAATTAACTGTCTGATATCTGAGTGTGACCTTTTTCCTTTGTGCTCTCAGTCTTTGCCGCAACTTTGTATGGAGTCACTTTAAATAAACACCACTAAATTCTGCACAAGCACCAGGCAAGGTAAAGTTACACATGTTGCTGGTAGGCTTCAGACCATTTTTTCAGCACTCTGTACCTCTGTATTCCAGTGTTGTCCAAGAGAAGGATAAAAACCCTGGAGCTGCAGATGAAGTGCAACCTTATTGCCATCTTCAATACCTCCTATGGGAACTGGACACTGGACCCACACTCCTGGCCACAGGCCTGTAGGACACAAGGAAGAGTTAGTTATCCAGAAGGGCACACGAGCATGTGCCTCTCAGCAGGCATGTGAATGTCCCAAACATGCCAAAGCTAGCAACATTGCCATAGCCAAGCTGTGCTGGAGCTAAGCATGCACTTAAGAGCTTTGCTGGATGGCAGCCATTTACAGATGTACAATCAGTACAGAGACATGGAGGCAGAGACTTCCTTTCATGGGTCATCTGAATTCTCTTCCTGAAGACACATACTTGGTTATTTCAATTAGCATGTTTAGAAAACCAAATGCTCTTCTTCTGATTACATCTCAGACACTGGCATATGTGTAATTTTTCCTGGAGTCATTAATTTACCATGCTTCTTAAAGATTCAAGGCCAGACAAACACCTGAAAATGAAATGTAGAAAGTAGCTGGATTCTGATAGGACAGAACTCTTCCTGCTCCTGTCTGCCTCTTGCTTTATCCTTGATTTGTTTGAAGATGCTGGTGGGTGCTTGCCTGCATGTAATGATAACTATTAACAGCAGCTTGATGAATAAGAGAAGAGAAAGTGGAAAAGAAAACAATAGGAAAGGCATTAAGGGCACTAAGTCATTCTTTCTGGGATGGGCATTAGGCATATGTTCACTACTTCAGTCTCAGTGCAATCAAAGCTGTCCTGTGCCACTGCCAAAAACTGCAACAGGTGCCAGAAGATTACAGCATGGGTTAAATCCACTCTTCAGGCACCAGCTCAGGGACTGATCCAAATCCCAGGAGCCAATGAACATCTTCCCCCAGATGTCAACTGTTTTCAAATAGTTCCCCTCTTATTTACAGTGTGATGCTGGGGAGGGGCAGGGGGATAAATAAATTTGGCTGCCAGGAGGCAATCCTCTGATTTCACCACTGCCAGTCTGGCCAGGTGCCAAAATCATGTACAACCACTCAAACACATTTGTAAGGTAATTAATATTTTATATTCACAACAATAAGAGAGCTTCATTCACACGGAACTATTAAGACAGTTTCTGGTTCCATTCCTTCCAGCACATTACAATGACAACTCCATGCCAGCAGCAGCCACATGGCCTAAAGGTGGCAGGCTGGCAAGGATACTCTCTCTCAGCATTTGGCATCTAAACGCCTTGGCAAAGCCCTCAGCAGTTGTGCTTGGCTGCCTTTGGATCTGTCATGTGCTTGGGCTGCTGATAGCACGGGAGGGTGCTGGGTCCCCTGGGCACCATTTCACTTTAACACCTGTCTGATTCAGAGGAATGTGCGCACATGCAAAGTGAGATCCCTGCACAAATCCTCCCGCAGACCCAGAGCACATGCTCCATTTTTTACTGGAAGGGGTCGTTTCCTTAGAACCACTGTGCCTTCTTTTTTTTGTTGGGCTTTTTTTTCCTCCCCTCTCTTCTCCCCCCTCCTCTTTCCCTTCACATATCTGTATACAGCCCTTAGAGGGTCCTACATCCTGCCATGCATTCCACATGTGTTGGAGGTTTCCTCTGTGAACAAGGAATACAAAACATAGCCCTTTTGTATATAATGAAATCTCATATTTTACTGTGCTCATATAAAACCATTTCTTTGTGACTAAGACTCTTTTTATTTGTGACATTTTAATGATCTTCAAATGTTTGGTATAGATGAAAGGAAATTATTATTTCCACGTCACCTTGCAGTAATACTTTTTGATAGGCACCATAATTCCAATTAAATTGAGTAATAAGGGAGGGGGAAACCCTTCAAACATTTAAAGTGCCACTGAAGCAGAAATATTTTAGGGGAAAACATAAAAACAAGCATACATGCTTTACCACAAGCTACAAAATATCAGAGGAGCACAGATAAGAAAACTCAAAACCCTTTTTCCTCTGGGGACATTCAAACAAATGCAGACCATAAGAACGTGACACTGTACCCAACAAACACCACATTTTTGTGTCACAGAATTGGGGCTGACTTGGGCACAAATTTATTGAAATACTCCCAAGTCTGGTCCCTCAGAGGTACTGGTCAAAAGCACACAGCTACCACCCCAAGCTTGGCAGAGGCAGCTCCCGGGAGCTACAGCAGAGAAGTGCGTTGAGATGTTGCAGAGCACCTCCCCAAATCCCTGCCTGTCCCAAGCACTACCCCCATGAGCCTGCACTGGTTCCTCTGGTACATTCTGACACCTTTGAGCACGGTTATCTTTGGGTCAGACACCCTGAAGCCTGTGAAACACACGCAAGCCTTGGGCTGCTAAGCTCACACCACAAAATAGCTGCTATCACCCGCTCTGGAGGGAAGGCTCCACGTGCCCATCCCACCCCAGCTGGAACATCCACACACAGGCCACAACCCCCGTGTCCCCCTCAAGCCATGCCCTCTGCCTGTCACCTTGTACTGTGGTTTTTGCTTTGTGTCAAGCTCAGGGCCCACACACAGCAGCCAAGGCATCCCTGTTCTAGCACAGAACACAAACCCTGCTGGCTGCACGTAGTATGTATCTATCAGTACTCCTGTGTTTACCCACATGAGCTTTGCTTTTCTAAAGTAAATTTTTTTAAAACTGTTTTGAGGGAGCCGATTTTTGTTGTTTTGTTGGGTTTTTTTAACCTTCTTGAACAGTTCTTCACTATTCAATCAGGAAAAAAAAACCCCAGCTTCTCTCCCCCTCTCCTCTGATACATGTTTTCTTCAGAATCCTAGGGCAACATGCAGGATGGACACTTGGACCATGACAAATTTAAGATCCAGCATCTTGGAGGCTTTCCTGGCCACAAGCCATACTTTTCTGGAATGGAAAAAACCTTTTTAATAAGGCATTTTCAGTAAGAAATTCACCATTTAACCCTGGGGAGGTAAGGAAATACTCCAACTTAAAGTTATTATTCTGTTGCATATAAAAATGTTATTTTAGATCATTTTTAGGACTTGCTGTAATGGCATTATTTTCCTTTTTTTTTTTTTTTTTTTTTTTCCCATGACCTGGGCAGTGAATTTCATTGTGATTAAAGCACCTGGCTTTTGGAGCAAGGGAGACAAAAAGTAAGTACCAAATAAACATATAAAAATCTCAAGCAACATTCCTGGAATAGTTCTTCTGTAAAGTGCATGGCATGTTCAGAACACATGATTTCCTAGTACAAGGATTTATTGGCTTCACTGCTCAGTGTGATCATCTCAGATTCATGCCAAATAAACCTTCTACATCATACTGACATTTTATTTTTCATCTCTGGCTACACCTACTCTTTCTAAAAATCAAGTTCCCAGCTCCTGCAGGATTTCCCAGGCTGAATGCATGTTTTATTATTTTCCCTTGAAAATGATAACCTAGAAGACAGTGCTGCATGTTACTCTTGGCAACTAAATTAGAAAGGAGTAAGTACATGATTTCAGAAGATGCAACAAAAGAACAAGAGCCAGGGAGGAGGCTTTGCCTCCATCAGGTTCCTGGCACCTTATTTTGGCAGCATCCCAGTGCCAGATACCAGGAGCAGACTTGTTCTCACACGAGTGCCAGTCAGAGTGAACCCTGGGACGAGTGCACCCTAAAGCATGGCTTGTATGTAAGTCATGTGGAAGACCAAGGAAAGGAAAAAGAAACTGATGTCAAAGTCAGAAAAGCCTGCAGTTTCAACTACATACACATAGGTTTCTACATGGACAAACCTTGCCAGGTGTTTCCTTATCATAACCCACTTCGCCCTGTTAACATTACTAACTTAACCAAATCAAATCCCGACCATTTCCCCATTTTAAACTTAATGAACTTTCTCAGATTTATGCATTTTTTCAGCATGCAATGTAAAATCAAGAGCTTCTTCATGAGCACATGTCTGACTGGGAAACTTATTTTTTTTTTCAGAACAGTTACTGTGCCATGACACAAGGGTAGAACACTGCTTTAAAGGGCTGCTGACTCTGGACAATTTACATGCTAATTTCAGAAATGATTCCTCCTACATTAAATAAGGAGCTGAGGAATGTTCCAAAGGTCTAGACAGACCATGCCATTAACAGATTGGGTAAATCAACATTAATACTGCCCACAGCATATTACACCGTGTGAACTTTCTTCACTGCCCACACTTTACTAATTTTAGTTCCACGTGGTTCCTCAGCTGACTGGCCAAAATATAAACTACACCAGCTCCCTAAAGCCTCCCTGTGCCCATCTTGACCTTGGACTTGCCTTTAATATTAAACTTGAGAAAAAAATCCTGATTGGTCACACTTTTTAATTCAGGGTATGTTTATAAATGGTTTATAAAGGGTTAATAATGATTAATAGATTATGAAAATGTCAAAGAAGCATAGACAACTATAAACACTAAGAAGAGCTGTTTGGCACCCAATACTAACTGATCAGCCATCTAGAACATACATTCTAGCCCAAACTCCATCAGTGTGAAGGCCAAGTCTGGCAGATAATTCAAATATCTTCAAGCTTGTTTGAGTATTGACAAGTTCTCCAGCACTTATTAGCAGTATTCTCAGGCTGTTATTAAAGTACAAGACAAATCTGTCTCTGAGTTTATACTTTGAATAAACAAGCTGTTATAAAACCTTAGACTAACAGAAAAATTTCCAGTTTTTATTTTACTTTCAATAAAAATGATCTTTACACAATTTCTCATATGTTATATGTAATGCTAATAACACAGAATTGAAAAACTCAAAATGCATGCAGCAAGCATCACTAGATGGATCACAAAGTACGAAGATCAATTGACTTTTTAAAACTCCTTCTTTTCCTGTATCTCAGCTTAATAGCTACACTGCTGAAACAAGGCACTGATGAAAAGCATGATGCTGAGTCTAAGTGTTTAGCTATCACAGAAAAAAAATTTAAATCACACTTGGGATGATATTTTGGGTTTAGAAATAAATCAGCATGCAAAGCATTTACAGCATTTTGTGTAATATCAAGATATGATGAGCTCTTGCAGTGTCACTTACTGGTAAACCCTAAAGCAGTAAATACTGTCAGGTACCTTCACATGGCAAAAATCTGATTTCTCTGCAACTGAAGTTATAGCTGTTGATAGGTTTTTCTTTCTTACACCCTCACCTCCCTCCCTTTTTTTTTTTGTTCCTACTTAACTGAGGATTATACCGAATCTATGTAAATGAAAATCTCATCACTTTCTTAACAGACATTGCAACACTTTGGGGGTGCAGAACTGAATATTAAGTCAGAAGAGACTGGGCAGGCACCTCGTCTCATTGAATTCAACAGCTGAACTTCCACGGAGTGCCAAGGGATTGAATTAGGTCTGCTTATGGTGTGGGTGCCAGCAAACTCTTTGTGCTTCATCACACACACCCCCCTAACCAGTCATTGCACTAGGACTTAATTATTTCATAGGAGCCACCTCTTAGCAAACTACAGCCAGGTATGGAGTGAGAAAGCCTTCCAAAAACCAGTGCAAGCAGGACCTCAAGACCTGACCCAGGTCACACAGCAAGAACATGCTTTGCTACACCTGAGACACCCCAGCCAAATGGCTCCTGATAATGATCAATGGTGGCAAATTGGCAGCCAGGCTACTGGAAAAGTTCCAAGCTTCACCTTCCAGCTACAGGAATGAAGAGGATGTAAGTGAATGTGATCTTTGGCCAAGACCTGACCCAGGTAATAAATACATCACACACAGCAAGAACATGCTTTGCTACACCTGAGACACCCCAGCCAAATGGCTCCTGATAATGATCAATGGTGGCAAATTGGCAGCCAGGCTACTGGAAAAGTTCCAAGCTTCACCTTCCAGCTACAGGAATGAAGAGGATGTAAGTGAATGTGATCTTTGGAAGGGAAATGTACATTGTTTCATTGCTGTGGGAAAAATGCTTAATACCCAAATGTTTCCTTATGCTTCTATGTGTCCTTATGCTCTGTGGAACAGAGAGAACCTGAAGAGGCTTTATAACTTTTGCATCAAAACCTAGTGACAAGAATGTTGCTAAATATTTAAACAGGTATTCTTCCTGAGAAACCACAAGTGAAGCTCATGCAGATGTCTGCTCTTGAGTACACATAAATATATGTGCAAAACATCCTATGCTTCTCAACAGGAAGGAAATCATTCCTGATCAGGGCTTATCCAGAGGCTCAGACTCATCCCAGTGCACCCAGTTTAGAGCCACCTTTCTCCCCTCCTTTCTCAGTCTTTTACCTCAGCTTCCTTCCAACATCCTTTATCTCCTGTGAAGGTTCAGCCAGATCCTTTCCTCCACCAATCCTCTTAGTTTCCCCCAGAACATACCTTATCTCAACAGGAAAAAAAAAATCCACTGGAATTAATGTTATTTTATTATATCTTTACTTCTCTCTATGGCTCTCTCCTCATGCTGCCTTTTTAGGTTAGTTTCTTTATGACAGGGATTAGTTATTGTTCTGTGTACTCACACACTACAGGCTGGATCTTAACCAGCCTCAAGGCACTACCATAAGAAACTGAGAATAAAAAGAGACTGCCTTTGCCCTAGGTAAATGCTCTCCAGAGTGATATCAAACATATTTTTTCCATTTTTGCAAAAGGAACCCCAGAAAGCACATAACAAACATGCCAAACATTATAGAACCTATTTCCCCAGTTCTTTTGAAAAATATGTATTTTAAACAATTTCTATAGCATGAAATGGAATTACATTTATTCTGTGCATCTCTGAAATATTAAACCAAGGTGGAAATTTTATTTTTGAGTGTTGTTCATGTATCTTTTCAGGGTACTTAGGAGTAAATTTTACCTATTCAGAATTACCCATTTCTTTTTATTGAACTACCTGAATACAATTAGAAGAACATTCAAATTGCAAAAAATTTTCCTATGAAAGACCATAATTTTATATAGAAATATTTTAAACTACTCAGGAAAACACCCACAAAAACATTAAAGAATTGATTCTGAACATGTTTGGCATCAAAATATTTTTTTACTGATAATTTTACAGCAACCACGTACTTCGTTTTCTCAGTGGCAAAGCTCTTGAAAATCCAAGAGGTTAGGCTATAGGTATGTTGCCAATCTGTGTTTATCATAGAATCCCAGAATAGTTTGGGTTGGAAGGCACCTTAAAAATCATCTCATTCCAAGCTCCCTGCTTGGAATGAGGTGGATCTAGGAGCCAACAGTCAGCCAAGGCTTCTGTGGAGACATCAGTTTCAGATCAAGATGGGCCATTACAGCCACCTTATCTAATCATCATCCCTCACACAGATCAGAAACCATCAGGCAGATCTAAAAAGCTCAAAACTGCACATTCCAGAAAGGCATCCACTTGGCAGCTCTGCAGTAAAGCAGTAATGCTTCAAAATGCCACACTTCCTTGAGAAGGGACATCTGACAATTTTGCTGTGAACATTACTCAGCTCTGGAGAGGATGGACCTCCAGGCTCTGCAAGGCTTGCAGCCCATAACTTGCATTCAGATAGCACAGAGTGACAAACTCTGGTTTGTGGCAGGAACAGCATAGTTTGAGTACTTCAGCTGTGAATTCAAGCTAAATTAAATAGGTGATCAATCCTTCAGCCCTCTGCTGGTGAATTGAGGGAAACAGACAAAATGATTGAAACACTATTTTGTGAACGATACATAATGATTTCCTTTTATGTAGGGCTACATGAAATTCCGGAGGTCTCCGGTACTCTGGAAATGAGGGTAAACCCCTAATTTGTAACAAAGCATCCAAAAAATGCATTGAAGGTTTTGATGATTTCAGGTGCCCTCCTTCACAATGGCAGTAGCTTCTCTCCTCTTTGTTTGCTCAAGAATTTGTATAGGGCCTTTCCTAATTGCACATTCTGAAGCTTTCTAGCTAAAACAAACTTTCATTAAAATGGGCAAGTCATTGAACCCAAAATTCAGCCTTTTAAACATGTGAGATTTGGATGCACTTTTGCGAAATCCACAGCAGATCTAAAGACACCTCCAGAAACTCCTGCCAGTGTTACTAACAGAAATGGCTTTTGGTTGCAGTCACTGAGGGTAAGGGCTGTACAGTCAGTGCTGACCTTACAGATCCTCATGTTATTTTGTTAACGCAATGGTTTTATGCCTCTTGGAGATTCGCCCTAAGATACATCCTTTGAAACAGGTATATGTGGAATTATCAGCCTGCGAACTGCCCTTCTCCGCCCACTGGAAATGATCAAGTATCTTTGACATGGGGAAGCTGAACTGGGAGGAAATGGTGGCTATCCTCTTGAAGTAACCTCTAGAGAAGATGAGGATGTCATTGCAAACTTGTGGGAAAACCAAGTTTTCCCATTGTCAACATGCAAAATAGGCACAGGACAACAAGCACCATGATTTTTCTGCGGTCAGGTTGGCAAATCCTTGAATGTGAAGAAAATGAAAGCCAGAGGCAGTGTGTTCCAAGGAACTATTAATTAACTAAGGGTTATAAAGCTGAGATTTAGAGAGCTGACTCCTCAAAGAGACAGAAGCAGCACAGAGCCTCGAACAGAACATGAAACTTCAGTATTAGAACTTCAGTATTTCTCTAATAAAGTAAGTTTTTCCAGTATCAGCATCTTTTCTCAAGCAGTGTCTTTGTCCAAAAGAAAATAAGAGAATTCTGCTACATATACTGCAGATGAAAAAATGAGAACATTCCCATTAGTCACCAACATTCTCCTCCACCATAAATTCCAAAGCGGCTTCTAATCAATTCCCTACAAATATAAAGCTCAGATGTTATTTCTACCATCACACTATCACTGATGACTGCATTCCTAGGTTAGACATTAGTGCCAAAGTGGGGTATCCTAAGAGTGTGTACATTTGACCTTCAGTACCACAATTCCCATCATTTCCTGTCTACCACCTTAAAGTTCTACAAAAGGTACACAAAGCATGGAAGCAAATAATGGAACACTGCACAAAGGGACATTTCACCCATGTATAAGCAAATAAAGACAATCCCAGAGCTGTGTGGGTGCAACAACTAACAAGGGAATAACTAACAAGAGAAAAATTCAGGAATTAAGTCAATTCACTGTAGTTAAATCACTGCAGACAGAACCAAGGTGACCTAATGTAATAATTTCATTACATCCGGTCCAAATACAAAGAACCTTCCTATGACAGAAGAGGTTTCTTTTCTCACATTGATTCTTGCACAATTTTCCAAGCTTTTCAAGACAAGGGACATCTGATGTCTTAGTCACTACAAGTTGAGACATCAGTCCAGAACCTTTTGCAGTAATTGGAACAGTCAAAATAGCAATATAATTTTAGACATACCTTTCTTCATAGAGTTCCCAACAGTACTCACGTGTGATATAAAAATAGGCTTTATTAAGCTCCGCAGGAGCCAAAAGCCTTTATTCCTTGAAGAGGCCATATGCCACCAGCAAACAGAAGTTTAGGGTTCCCAGGGACCTGGGATCCAGAAAACCCACCTTTTATTCATGCAAGATCATAACTTTTGGAGATACAGAAGAAAGCACTGAATCCTGAGCT